ACCCAAACCATTCCATGATTCTATGATTTATGAATTTTTAGGACTAATGAATTTGAAGACTGGCAACTTCCACTAAAGTAGAGTATTACCTTTGTCCTCTGTGCGTTTCATTGCTGTAAGTGAAATGTCTAGTTTATTTTAAATTAATGGCAAGATTCTTATTGCTCTCAGTGAAACTAGCTTACCTAGCAAGGCCATCCTGAAACAAGGCTTGTTCTTCATCTGAATGGTTAGCAGGTTGGTACTAAAGCCATAATTTTTATTGAGGAACTGTCATTTACTCTCTCATTGTGTTCTGACCACTTGTGTCCTAAAGTTCTGCTTTAAGAAGTGAAATGCAATAATAATTTGAGTTTCTCACTGTCAGTTGTGTTCTAATACAACTGGTTAAAAGATTCATGTTTTCAAAACTTTGAGAAATATTTGCTTTGGCAAAAAAGAAAAAAGAGAAAATAAATTCACCACTATTTATCGCTCTAGTTTTTAGTTAAGACTTATTAAAAAAATACCTCAAATGCTTCCCTTTTCAAGAAAATGAAAGGAAGGGTGAGTATGGCAACAGAAACACAGTTCCAGATCAACTTATGGGAGAACAAACAAAAAAAGTGCACCTTTCTGAAGTGACACGGATTCTTTCGTCATTGGAGGAATTGAATCTGTCATCCTTTTCTCTAAAATACTCTTCTATGCACTGCTCTTCAAAATCGTGGACTTTTTTCAGTTCATCCTCAGTTATGAAAAGTTCTGTGGAAACAATGCAAAAATGTGAATTTGGCAAAGATTAACATGTGAAATTAACTACATTCTTCTTATTGTGGAATTCATGGACTAAAGTTGCAAAAGCAGGCTTCAAATTTATCTAACATTTTGGTATGAAAGCAGATAGATGCAGCTAATTACCAAATTAGTGGCTTCAATTATATATGATTCTGGAGACAGAAACACTTAAGCAGGCCAAAGCTGAGCAAACATGAATGTGTTTTGATTGCATGAGATCTAAACACAGCTGCTGGTCAGGTGTGGAGAGATGGTGGAAGCAAAGCCCACCTGTACCCTAACACAAATATAATCAAGTTAGCAGACTGCTAGGGAAGGAGTCTGAGAGTACAGAGTGTCTATTTGACATGGCAAGAGCTGATATCTGCAGGCAGCAGCAAAGGCTGTGGCAGACAGTGTGATGTGACTGGGAGGAGAGCAGCCTGGTTGCATGTGCAATTCCAGAGCCACCAGATAGCTCCAGCTCCCTCCTCATAGAGAAGTGGGCTGTGGCATGGGCCAATGTTAGGAAGAGATGCACATCCCTTAGCTCCCTGCCTAGGCACTGGGGGAGGTGGAGATCTTGTACTTTAAGGAACTAGACAGAGAAAAGGAGAGAAATTGTTATCAAAATAATCTGACAGGTTTTCCATCATGCTTATGGGAGTTCATATTAAAGTGTCTGGAGAAACTACTCCTCCAGTTTGAGTCAGTGTCAAGGAGAGGACATGTGTCTGCAAAATAATTACTTCTCACCATCTCCCAGCTTATCTAGGCAAAAAGTGTGTTGGGGGGAAATATTTGCTGTTTGCTGAAAAACAAGGAATGCTCTCTCTGTATTTTCGGAACTAAAACTGAGACCTGGAAGTGCAATGGACTGTGAGAAGAATTCCAGCAATAACAAACCTCTAGCAACAGCAAAACAAACCCCTTTGCTCTCCTTTGAAGGAACAAAGCTGGGAAGAACCCCCAAAAATCCCAGATAAGCATAGCCTCATTAACATTCTGAAGAGAACTAAGGGTTGGGCAATGCAGGTAAAACTAACTGATTCGGGTAAGATCTTTGCAGTTAAAAAAATTATCTGCTGGAAAGGTTATCAAGGTGCTGGACTTAGCCTTAATTCATGTCAAACACTAGATATTACAAAGGGCATTAGAAAGTCTCACTCTGTAAATTGTCTAAGGCTTACTTAATCCATAGTCTCTCTCATCTGGGTCGCTTTCATGCTTCCTCCATCTGCAGCAGAGGTGTTGGAATATCATAGTCATATGGCTGAAAATGATCAGAGGTGGTGGGAGAACAGGCCTTTCGTGAAATGTCATGATTAGCTGGTATCTTTGAAACTTCCATACTTGGTTGGATATGGATTTGACTTCAAAAAATGTATTGCTAGAAGGCAAGAAGAAGAAAATAATATCAGATTGAAAAGGTTTTGGGTACTTTGCCGAAGATGATGTGACAGCACCTGAACTAGATACATTTCATTGATAGTGGCAAATGCTTCCTTGTCACAAAAAGAGGAAGAAGAACAAAATAAATTAATAAGCTTGTGCTTCAGCAAAGCACAGTGGCAATCAGCCATTTCAAAGCATCTTACTACTGTGTACATCTGCTCTGTACAACCACTGAGTCTTACAAAAACACAATGAGACCAGAAAATATTTTTATTCCTGTTTTCCATATCAGGACAAAATAATGCCATAACTGAACTATTATTTTTTTTTTTTTTGTTTCTCTGCCCTGATTCCCACCAAGTGTCTGTCCTTGTAAATGAGACAATGTGAAGAACTTGGCATTTCCCTCTTTCCTGGAGACAAGCTATTGCCTCTTTC